CACACACAGTCAGGGTCACACTGACCCCCACAGGCCCGGACACTGACTCTCACACACAGTCAGGCTCAGGGCATTATGGGATGAGCTGCACTGTTGTTGCTGCCTCGTGTCTCCAGTGGCCCGGGTTCGACCGAGGCCCTGCCTGCCTGCCTGCCTGCCTGCCTGTGCAGGGTGTCTCCAGCAGGTCCCAGTCAGTTCGCCCGCTGGGTGCCCCTGTCTGAAGGGGAGACTCCTGGGAGTTGTAGTCCCGCTCGGGGCCCTGTGGGAGCTGTAGTTCAACGGCGCTGCACCCAGGAAGAGTCCGACCTCTGGCTCTTCAGAGCTTCGCTCTTGTCCTTGTCCTTGTCCTTGTCCTTGACAGACAGAGGACAAGACGGAGGACCACAGCGTATGAAACTGGCCTCGCGCCAGTCACCTGGAGACACCTCCTCCTGTGGGGGACCCCGGCTGCTCAATATGACAGGTCCCCCCGCCAGGGGGCGCCCCTGCCTCGCTCACCACCCCCTCCTCTCTGCGCAGGGGCTGTGGGCCGGCGTGAGCGCCGGGCGCCGCGCCCTCTCCCTGCCGCCGGTCTCCCTCTCGCGGACGGAGAGCTACATCGGGGTGCTGGTGGACGACCTGGTGTCGCGGGGGGTGACTGAGCCGTACCGCATGTTCACCAGCAGGGCCGAGTTCCGCACCAGCCTGCGGCCCGACAACGCCGACCTGCGGCTGACCCCCCGAGGTACCCCGCCGCCCGCCCGCCGCGGCCCCGAACCCCCCAGGCCCCTGGGCCTCGCGGTCCTGAAGCCCCGCCCCCTCTCTGTCCCTGCCAGGGTTCGAGGCTGGCTGTGTGTCGGACCGGCGGTACAGGGAGGCGCTGAGGGCGCGCGGCTCTCTGGAGGAAGGGCTGAGTGCTCTGCGCGCAATCTCACTCCCTGCCACCAGGTGGCGCCAGCAGCTGAAGGGCATCCCTGTGAGCGAAGGAAAGACGGGACACCTCAGGTCAGTCAGGGTGTGTGTATTAACCCCTCTCTCTCTCAGTGCAGTGT